TAAACTGATGATCTATAATCCGGAAAAATCGATAATCCGGATCGCCGAAGTCCCGACGAGTCCGAATTACGACTTTTGACTGTATAGACTTTTCAGTTGCGATGATTCAATTTATTGCATAAAAGGAAGGATCAAAATGCGTTCTATCCTGTCTTGCTTGAAAGGCAACTGAAATGAAAGAAATTAATAGAAAAGAGCGAGATGAAAAGACAAAAAAAAAATAAGTACTGTGCCCAACAGCATTATTCCATACAATAAGAATATGGGATATGTCGACTGATTGATCAATTTACAGACTATATGAAATAGACCGCAAAGCAAGAAATGTGGACATATTTTTTTTTTACTTTAGATGCAAGTATAGTAAACACATTTATCATTTGTTTGATCAACTGACAGACTATATGAAAGACCGCAAAGCAAGAAATGGTGGCACATGATTTTTTTTTACTTTTTAGATGCGAGTATAGTAAACACATTTAGTCAAGTTTGTTCGCGAACCTGCATGATGTAAAAAACAATGAAAGATTTTCTATCCTCGTTACCGAAGGTCTAATGGCACTTGCAGGCAAGAAAGAGCTGAAAGAAAACTGAAACCCCAGTTCAAATCAAAACTAAAAATCCCGTTCGTACAACCAGAAAAAACTAAAAAATGTAAGTAAAATGCCAAAGAAACAGCAGGAGAAGATGTCTATTGCGCATATCGAAAAGAACGACGAACATTTTGGATCTGTGAAACAGTGAAGTGCCTCTATGTTACAAAGAATGAAACAACATGTTTTTCAAGTTTCATGAAAAATGATTTTTTCATTTTTTAATCATATAAAATGTTTTTGAATCAGTGCCAATTTAATATTTATTTAGTATCATATGTACGAGTTCAAATTTTAATCTTAAAATAATATTCAAAAAAACTTTTTCTTTTGTTCCTAAATTTAAAAATATTAAATATAACTATATGCAAAATTTTACAAGTCATGCATAATGCAAAAGTACAAAATGCATTTTAGTGTGTTTATTATGAATATTAGAATGCACGCTTTATTTGTTTATCCTTCACATATGATTTTTTTTTTCTACTATACACCAATATGCCATAAGACATGTGCTAGTTGCATGGTGGGACAAAATTATCCCACCTTCCACCGAATAAAAATAAAAGCGCAGAATTTTTTCAAGCCTTAAAGGCCTTAAGTAGTCCATCTGACTTATTCTAAGGCATTTTTAAAATTTAAATATATTTTAAATATTCGTGTCGCAAAGGGTTTAAAGGAGAAATCAAATTGTGCCAGGATCCGTTAAAGGAGAAATGAAAATTGTGGCCAGGAATCCGTTAAGGAAGAGATGAAATCTCTTAAAAATGAGATGAAGCAGGTCAGGACGAAATGAAAAGAGAAATTACCGCGTAATAGAAAATAAATAGAGAAATGAGGCTATGGAAGGCAGAATTTGAAACTAAAGTTGGAAACATAGAAAGATTTTCTTCGTAAAAAAGTAGAAGAAAGAATTTCTTCTGTAAAAGAACATAGAAGAGAGAGTTTCTGCCGTCGAACAACAAATTGATGACAGGGTTTCTGCTGCCGTCGCCAAAGAAGTTGACAGCCTAAAGAAGTGCATAGCGACGGTAGGAAACAATTCTGAAGGTTTCAAATTTTTATCGATGCCTGCTCGTTTCGTTCTGAAACTATCTACATATGATAGGAAGACCTCCTGGCAGGTGTATAGGACACAATTTTCTATTGTTGCGGATGCGAATGGATGGGATTCCCAAGCTAAGGCCTGTCATCTCGCCGCTTTTCTGAGAGCAGACGCAGCGGATATCCTGCAGACGCTTCCCGAAAATCAAAGGCTAGATTTCGAAGCTCTATCCGGCGCTTTGGAGCTGCGCTTCAGCGAGAAATGTTTAAAGGACTACAGCAGGATTCAATTAAAATCCCGTCAACAGAAGCCCACCGAATCACTCCAGGAACTCGCCACGGATGTTGAAAGGCTGTCCCACCTCGCCTTTTCGGGGTGCTCGACAGAAACAAGGGAAATCCTGTCCCTGCAATATTTCATCGATGGCATCCGGGACCCTGAAATACAGAAAGCACTGCGAATGGCGGATGTTAAAGATCTGAAAAGTGCTTTATTGTATGCCATGAAATTTGAGGCAGCCCAGCAAGCCACCCGTCGAGACCGCCATCCAGTCAGAGCTGCTCAAGTCCAGGAGCCAGGGGATCAAGTCACTGCTCGTCTAGACGATTTAACTAGACAACTGAATGCCTTGACAGAATATTGGTGACAAGAAACCGACCGTAAAGTGCTGGAACTGCGGTGCTGAAGGACACATCAGACGGAATTGCAGAACACCCCAGGGTACGGAATATAAAGCAGATGATTTTACCAGACAAGTCAGTGGCTTGAGACGGAACATAAGTGAAAAGAAACTAATTCTAAAATGCTGGAACTGCGGAGTTGAAGGCCACATACGAAGAAATTGCAGAACATCCCGAGGTACGGAAAATAAGACCATTTCCCAGCAACGACGCAGTAAACAAATTAGTGACCATATCGAGGAACAGAGGTTGTCAGATAATGAAAAACCTGTTTTAAAGCACTTAAAATTTATACAGTGAGTGGCAAACAGTAACGGAATGTCCATTAATGGGAATATCGATGGAGTTCCTTGCGATATGATCATTGACACAGGAGCTAATGTTACCATCATTAGGAAAGATTTAGCTGAACAGTTTAAAGATAAACTTATTTGGACGCCATCCTGTGTTAACCCTTCAGACTGCGTCTGGTGATAAGATCGACATAACTGGGAAGTTAAGCGTAAACATCATGTTTGGAAGTGCCGCCTACCATCACACGGCTTATGTGGCGGATATCACAGATCCATGCATACTTGGATTGGACTTTTTAAGGAAATACAATTTTTCCTTAGACTTCAAAAACAACAAACTGCTTTCAGGATCTGAAGACATGACTATCCATCCTAAGAAGGGATCCTCACCTGGAAATGCCGACGCTTTGTCCAAAAGAACCATCTCGAGAAACAGCCGAAATCATGCTAGGGTCGAAAAGAAACACCAGACTACCAGCTATTCTCCATCTCAGATGCTCTTCGGTCGAGACCTTCGTCTGCCTTGTGACCACCTGTTTCATCAATCGCCGTACGGATGCGCCCTTCATCGCCTGAGGAACACATCCAAGATGTCAAGGCCCGTTTTTGAAGTGATGCACCGTTCCGCCGCACGAAAGCGAGTGAACTTGGCGATGGAGAAGTGAAGACCAGGTACAACGCGAGAGCTACTGGAACTTCATAGACAACAAAAGAGAACAAGGTGTGGTTGTGGAACCCGATTCAAGGAAAAGGACTCAGTCCTAAATTACAGTCACCTTCGGATGGTCCATATACAGTGCTGAACACGAATGACGTCGTGGTTCGGATCCGTGAGTCTTCGAACTCTTACGACAGGTTAGCTTATTACTATGGCCATAGTACGTAATGTAAATAATTGTAAATAGTATCAGACCATGGTCCTTTTTGTTTATAAATGTGTATTTGATTTGTATTTAGTATTTGATAGCATTTGATTTGTTTAAGTTAGTTATTGCTTATTGCATTTATTGTTTATATTGTTTGATATTGTAATGTATGTTTATGCCTCAGTTTGCATTTATGCCACAGTTGTAAGTTTAAGTTAGCTTCCTGTCCAGGGATTGTACTGCCCGGGACGTGCAGTCCTTGGGAAGGGGGCAGTGTTACGAATTTGGTATTTAAAAAGCTAATGTTAGTTCAATTATAAATTAAATGGTTTTATTTCTCGCGCAGTGCAGCGTGTGACGAATATTAAAAGAAAGCTAAGCCGGAAAAATTAAAAATACAAGAGCGTGTGCGTTAAATAAATAAATATCTCTTTTTGATTTCGAGAAAGTGCTGGAAAATTCTAGCGCGTGATTTTAAAATCTTATAAAAGGAGGAAAACATCTCAGTTTGCAGTAGTTGCTTAGTTTGTTGTTGTTTAGAAAACTGCTGTTGTTGATTATAGCGAATTCGCGGATTAGCGTTCTTTAGCTGTTTTGAATTACGTTCTATTGCACATTTAAGTAGTTAAAAGATAACTACTGTGAGATATTGTGATACTGCATGATAATTTGAGAAAATTTAAGCATTTCTGTTGTGATAATAATAAATTTTTGTTCATTTTTCATCGGACTTGTGCATTCATTTCATAACGAACCCGTACGCACACAACAATATCATACACATTAAATTTGAAAATACTAGAGCAATCAAAATCTAACTCAAATTCTGTTTGTTTTTTATGACAAAACATTCAAGACCTATTTTGTTAAGGAAAGGAATGACTGTTTTTTATGACAAAACATTCAAGACCTATTTTGTTAAGGAAAGGAATGACTTCACATGGGACTTTCTAAAGGATTGCATTATGCAAAAGTAAAACACATTAAGGCCTCTGTGGAGGATTTTCAATGGAAAACTGGCTAATATTCACATAACACAAAAAAATCGCAAAAATATATAAGCAGCCAACCTAGTCAGTAAGATTAGAACTTGAGTCAAATTGTTAGAATTCAAGAATATTACCAACTATTCAAAGATGGGAAATCTTTTTAACAGAAACTGGTTCACATTTACATTACACATCAGGAAAATCATAAAAATGTATTAGTTTATTACATAAAAACACTTGTAAAAAATACACACTTTTAAGAAATATTAGAATGCATTACAACAATTTTTTTTAATATAATTTTAAGCAAACACCAAAGTATTAAATAAAGAACTACTTTTAATTAAAAAAAACTATTGTTTAAGTGAAAGCTACAACATAGTTAGTAATAACAACATAAGTTGTTAATTACAAAATTAATCTTAGTAATTACAACATAATTAGCAACAATAAGATATTAATGTTCATTAAAAAATTCTTGCCAAATTATTACAAAAACTATAATACTTTTCTAATTAAAAAAAGTTTAATTACCTATAATGAAATCCTATATCATGGTTTCCTATCACAACATACAACTTTGTATTTTCTGGAACGCTAAATAAACTGTGAAATCTTTTAACGTAATTATTAAACTCCTCTTCACTGCAATGATATCCTTCATCAAAAATATCACCTAAAAATAATAATAGGCTAATCTTAATACATAAACAACAACTCTAATCTAATAAAACTAAGTATACATTCTCCCTCCCCTTAGAATAAAAAACAAACTTACTACTGCAGTTTAGTGTCATATTTAAAAATTTAAATATAGTTACTGAAATGATTTTACATATTTTTATGTCATACTATTAATAAAATACTGAAAAGAGAAAATACTTAAACATTCATAATAGCAAACATAAAGAAGTTTTAATAATTTTACAATTGAGAGATATTTTCAAATACAGCAGAACTCCAATTATGAGAGTTTCAGACACCCAGAACTCATCTGGATAACTTGCTTTTGTTTTTCAGCCAAATAAAGTTATTCTAGTTGATAAGTATACATAAAATATAAACTTTTTATATGCTTCTATTTTTTTTGTCAGTTCAAATGATATAAAAATATTATAGCATCATCAATATTTTTAAGAAGATATTAAATTCAAGAGGATTCATGTGCATTATAGCATATAAATACATTGCTATCAAATTCTTGTGGATTAATCCACAATCTTTGATACATAATTATCCTATTAACATCAGCAGAGAAGCCATTATATAATGTTTATAAATCTACTATAGTTTTTTTACACGTGAAAGCTTACAAAAATTCATTTTTATTTCTTTTTTAAGTTGAAACAATTATGTATCACGCTTAGGCAAATAAAAAGTAAGTTCGTAATTTAATATTGTGAAAAGTCTGTGCTCTGCATTTGGTTTAAACTCATTTGCACAGAGCCGACTTAAGATACACTACTTAAGCTAAAATGTGCACTAATGAATTAACTCTTGTGCATGTATCACAACCACTTTTCAAGACAATATTTGCACATAAAGTTAGCAAAGCAACAACCTTGTGTTTGGTGTCAATTTAGTCAAGATCTTGATAGATTTTGAAGGAAACAGGTACAAATCCCTCTTCATCAGAAGCAAAAAAATCTGCAAGACTGGAAAGCAGCAGGTGCAATGGTTGTATTTATACACTATGGCAGAGGTGAGGAACGTGCAGGCTCAGTGAGTTTCTCATATGACCTCTAGCTCTTATATTAATTAATACTTAATTACATAGCTTACGACAATTTGAAAATTAATAACTAAATAACGTGAGCATTTTGCATCAGCAAAATCTTTCTGCAAAAATAATTTTTTTGCAAGACACTCTGGATAGAGATATTTCAATTGCCAACTATATTCGTGATTACCAACTATACTTGTGTAAATGCAATGCATCATCGTGAATTTCCTCAGATGCTAAGATGATGCATTTTTGTGTGATATTATGACAAAACAAAACAAATTAAATATTTGCCTGCAAGGTAAAACAAAGCATATATATGACATGTGGCAAAAGATACAAGCATTTCGAAAAAAATTTACATATTTAAAAACTTTGCTCTCTTGCTTGGATATATCTTCAGAACACTTCCAGGAGCTAGCAAAAATGTAAAAATAAAACATTCAATGAATATGTAGGTGTCTTGGATTTTTTAATAGAAGAATACACTGAAAGATTTTCAGATTTTGACAAGCACACTTCTGCTATGAAACTAGCATTTGAACCACATGTAGTAGATATATCCAAAGCCCTCACAGAACTGCAAATGGAGATTTGAGTTGCGGTAAGATAGTATCCTCAAATCTCTTTTTTGACACTAAAAAGGATCCCACTAAAATCTATAAAAATACTGTTGAATATCCATGTCTACGAGAGCCTGTATGCCGTTTACTTTCCTGCTTTGGAAGTACTTACTGCTGCGAGTCAACATTTTCTCTCATAACAAAAATTTTATCTAGTTTAAGAATGGATATTACCAATCTTCATTTAGAGCAGTGTTTCTTAAACTTTTTTCAGTAGCGACCCCTTTTTATCACTGAGATTTTTTCGCGACCCCCAGGACCCCATAATATTTACAAACATTTTGTGGGATCCCATAAGCATGGTGCAAATCCACATGCATGAGTGAAACTGTCAAGTTTTTCACTTGTACTGTAATATAATACTGCAGTTTTAGGTCATTAATTTCTAATTTTAAGATATAGAACTATGTGCAAATTTTAAATAAGTTACAGATGAAATGATAGCATCACATGCAAAGCAAGAAAAATGAACGTTTATATTATAAAAAGAATGTGTTGAAACTTTTTTTTTCCTTTGTCTGTATTGTCTTATATCTTTATCTATTTTCAGATACATTGTGTAAAAACGTTTGGTAATTATCAAATTATTATAAGTGAAATATCGAAACTGCTAAAAGTTTTGGCATTCCCCTGCTACAGGTCCCACAACCCACAGTTTAAGAAACCCTGATTTAGAGGATCCTTTGAGGCTGTGCGTTACAAAACTTGAACCAAATATTAAATTACTTTCAGGCAAGAAACAAATGCAAATATACCACTAAAGTTTTCCATTGAATTTTAACATTATTTTACATAATGTTGTTAAGTTGATTTTTTATAACTTTATATTATTACTTTTCTATTGTTTTTCCTTACAATGTAATAAATTTATTGAAAAATACTTCTGCTTTATTATTTTTATTTGAAACAGTATTTAAATATATGTAGTTGTTTATTAAAAATGATTAAAGATTAATGTTATAGTAATAAGTAATGAGATGGATGTTAAGAAGTTAGATAAGATGTTTATAATAGGCCTTATGAGAACACAAAAATATTTTACATTGTAATTTTTTTAATAAATTACTTAATGTTTTTTTGCATTATTTGTATATAATGCAATAAAGTGATAAAACTATAAAAAATTATAATAATTTCACAAAAGTTGCATTTATAGGTATATCAACTAATGTGACCTCCTTCATGACTGCCTAATTTAAATGCGGCCCCTCAGGGTAAAAAGGTTCCCCACCTCTGCCCTATGGCAATAAATTGAATGAGAAGGTTGCACCCTCTGTCCGCAAAAATATTAATGAAATTGAAAAATTATGTTAATAGAATTTTGAAAGTGTTAGGAAATACTGGATTGCACTTAAAGCCATTAACTAAACAAGATAAATCTATATGAATAATTTTTGCAGAGGCAAATTCAAAATTATGGTTAATTTTTCTTTTACAATGTTGCTGATATATGACCGCTGTGGCTGCTGCTTTCCAGTCTTGCTGATTTTGTTTGCTCCTGACGAAGAGGGACCTGTACCTATTAGCCCTAATAATCGATTGAGAGCATGACTAAATTTGCACAAAGTTGTTGCTTTGCTAATTTTCTGTTTCACTTTGGCATGTTTCTTTTCTGTTTTGATAATTTGAAGAGTTTAATTTGAGCTGTATGCAATGCAGTTGATTTTAAATTATGTTTTTATGTAATTACAAAATAATTTTACTTGTACTTAAATATTGGTGATCTTAAAAATAATTTTATAATGATGATTGCACTGATGATTTAAATTACATTTGTTCCATCTGGAGAATATCATACCCAAATGAATCGATTCATTAAAAATACACTGTCATGTCTCTGTTGTTATGAGTTCTTACATTCCAAGATACATCCTTTGGAACATAAGAAATATCTTGTAAGATTTTGTTCGGTTTGTTCAAAACAAAGAAAGAAGAGTGACATCACTCAGGAATACAAATGTTGGTGTCTTTACAAATTTTTGCTTCAAGAAACATTATACAGAAATAAATAGTAAATACAAATTCAATTAAACTCAAACGAAAAAAAAAAGTTTATTAATAAACACGCCAACTTTTGTTTACTTGGTAAATGAGTATTTTATGGTTTGTAAGATTAATAATATTAATATATTTTTCATTTTTCTGTTAATGTGATGCAGTCAAATTCCAGTTTCCATTGATTCAGCACTTACAGTTCAGAGTGACAGTAATAGTGTTACAAGTTGTGCTAGTAAAGTAACACCAATCCTTACCATAGCCAAAATATAGACTATCAAAGCCACCTCATACCATTATGTAAATACTATCTGCATGATGTAACTAAATACAATGACTGTAAATATTTACTACAGCACCCTATGTTTATTCTGAATTTGCAGGAAATGTTTCAGACTCCGAGATTGTACCCAACTTATGCCATATATATGATAAGTTTAATTTACATTTTGAAGTTAAGTACACCTTACATTATATCTTCATTTTTCACTTTCACCTTTATGAATTTATAATTCCATAATAGATACAAGGGAGAGTATACACTATTTTACATAACTTTATTTAGTAGTATAATATAATGTGGTATTGTGAAAAGAACACTATGTTATTACATTATTTAATGTCAGTAATGTCTCATTTGCATACTTTATCAAATAAATTCTAATTATGTATGTTATATGAAGTACTGTTTCATACAGCATTTGTTATTATCCACAGTTTCATGAATACATGAAATTTTGGAATGTATTACCTGTGAATATTGGGATACTATTATATATTCAGGTATCTACTACAGTACAAAGTCTATAATCCGGACGTCCATTATCCGGAATGATCTATAACCCGGACCTCAAAGCCACAACCTTTTTTTTTTATGCTTTACGCATGTGCGTTTAATGCACGCTTCCGATAGTGAAGAAAGTGACAGAGAGGTTATTCAAAACGAAAAAAATTTCAATAGACAAGTTAGTCAGTATTCTCGACACAGCAATTACAGGACTTGAACAGTGGAACTTTGTAACTGAACAAGGAATTATGACTGTTTATAGAATTAAAGAGAAGCTATTAGCACAAAAAACGAAGCAACTTAAACAACTTACATTGAAAGATATATTTAATAAAGTAAACAAATAAATATTAATTTTTTTTGTAAATTTTGATACTCTTTAGATCATAATTGCTCTTTATTTCATAAATTACTGTTTCATATTTTTAATTGTATAATTTCTGCATGCCATCTTGCCAGATTGAAATTGATGATCTATAATCCGGAAAAACCCCTAATCCGGAATCGCCGAAGTCCCGACAAGTCCGGATTACGGACTTTGTACTGTATATTCTTTTAGGTGTTTCTGAAATTATTTCCAAACTGGTGCATCTTAATATTCCAGAAAATTATTCATTTTTCTATTCATTTCCCATTTCCAATTATTATTATTATTATCATCCAATATTCCAAAATGACTGCCAGGTGAAAGATCATAGGAATAAAAATATTAGTTAACTAAATAATCATAGTAGAAACAAATTTCAATACATGAAAAAATAAAAATTCTCCCGCTTTCTTTACAATAAATAATGCTTTGGCCTATGGAAGGGGGAAGAAGACCCAGTTCAAGATTTTTCACATATCTTTATAGTTCTAATTCCAGATAGCACACGTACTTGAAGTTCAATTGCATTTGAAAAAGGAAAAATTCATTAAAAAACAATTACAACAAAAATTTAATGCAATATTTGTAGCAATATAGAAATACAAAAATTGTTAAAGAAATATTTATAACTAACAGAAACACAATCAAAATTATTAAATATACAAACTAGATATAAAGATGTGATTTGCTTGCTATTAATTACTATAAAATAAATACTTTTAAATTAAAAGTCAAATAAATACCTAAAATAAAGACAACTTGTGGATTATGAAGTGTCATAGTTGTTTGAAATGTTCTATACATTTGCCACTCCCTGAAAAGAAAAACTTCTTAAGTAATATCTTAAATACTTAGGATACATAAAAGTATATTTTTTTGGTACTGTTTGGGTTTAGAGAATTTAGAGAAGTATGATTAATGCAGAGGCATGAAACTGCAGGTATCATTTAAAATGTCTGAAAAGATTAGCGTTTTAAGATGCTGCTGCCACCATACACCACATTGATCCAAATAAGAATCTAATTGGTTAGGTTCAGTACCATGTTGAAGTCTGTTTTGCACTGTCCCGTAACTTTTCAAAAGTTTAAGTAAACTAGCATCGGGATCAATAAAATTATGGTTAATGCAGAAATATTCAAATCCCAATCTTCATATCTCCACTCTGCTGCTTCTTTTGAATTGAAGTAGAACTTCATTTTATGGTTTCTTAAGCACTTTCTTCCAGAATGAATGATTCCTCGTTCCTGAAGAAATTGTATGGAAAATGTTTCATCATTAGGTAAGTTCCAAATTTTCAACTCCACGGTAAATACAAGAATAATAAAAATAAAAGTGACCATTACATCTTTAGAATTTGTATTCTCATTGCCAATTTTGAAATGCATTCTTTTACATTTTTAAAATGTAAACATTGTAACAATTTTAAAAGTAAACATCAGCAATTTCATATAAATCAATCTCTCGGTGAGTTTAGTAGAACATTTGGTGACGACTCCAGTCCCGGTAACAGAATAGCACCCAAAAAAGATTGTCGGAAAATTGAAATTGAAGAATAATCATATAAAAACAAAATTTTGAAAATTAAGCTTGCTTAAATTATTATCTATTTTATGAAATACAAAAGGTAAAATGCATTAATTAAAATATGCAAAATACTTACAAAACATTTATTAGAAATGAAGTTTAGTACAGTGGAACCTCGAGATACGAGCACCTCTATATACGAGAAATTCGAGATACGAGGAAAATATGAGCAAAAACTCTAAATACGAGCACTGACTCGAGTAACGAGCAGTGAGCCAGACTGTCAGTATATGTGGCGCCTTTTTCCGATCCGGCTCCACTCGGGGTATCTCCCCGTCAGATCTCTCAGTGTTCTTTCATCTACGTGTGAGTCGCACTTGTGAGTCAATTGTTTATTACATTTAACGTGAAAATAATTATTTCACGATGCTTTCCAAGAAGATTGTTGCCTCAGATAATGCTGCAAAGAAAAATAAGGAAGCCATGGGTGTTGAAATTAAGAAAGAAATCATAGATAAACCATAGATAAGTGTGGTGTAAGAGTGACGGAATGGGTGAAGACTTACAGCCTTTCAATATCGACGGTCTTCACTATTCTGAAGAAGAAGGAAGAAATTAAGAAACTTTATGCAGGCAAAGGAATTACCGTTACTTCCAAGCACCATTCAAAACTCTTAGAAGCTGATAATGTGGATTTACGAGAAGCAGTTAAGGTCAGTGTCTGAAGCTATCATAAAGGTAAACTATGGTTTTATTATTTACCAGTGTTATTTATTAGAAAAAATTGATTTTTATGTTGATATTTTTTGGGATGCGGAACGGATTAACTGGACTTCCATTATTTTCAATGGGGAAGTTTGTTTCTAGATACAAGAAATTCGCTATATGAGCACAATGCTGGAATGAATTAAACTTGTATCTCGAGGGTCCACTGTAAGATAAACTTTGAAACAAGGCTCGATGCAAAGTCCTACCTTGCAATCTTTGCAAATTTTTTTGCCAGTTTCAGTTTCTTTTTCTTTTCTTTTCTTTTTTTTTCTTTTTTTTTTTTTTTAGCAACAAACAGCACACTGTCTACGAGGCTCTTTCTTGATGGGATCGCGGGGTTATACGGTTATCGAAATGCCCAGCAGTTAGTCTCATGGGATTGAGAGTTGAACTACACCTCCCAGGGTAAATACTGGAATTTCAATCTGAATACTTCTGACTGCTTAGCTCAATAATTTGCTGTCGGAATTCTGGAAGCATTATATTTTGCAATGGATTATATAGCATTTACAGTTATTGCCAAGAAAAGGATATGAAGTAGGATCTGATGGGATATTTTGCATATCAATTTTGCACTACTGTCGAACGTTTTGAATAGAAAGTGAATCTTAAGATTCATCGTCCACAGAGGAATCCGAGAAATTCTCTTCAGTTTCGCTACAACTATCTTCAATATACTTGAAATCAGATTCAGAACTGCTGTCAGTATCCAAAATATTGTCAGAAATGTACGTTATATCATTTGCCAAATGCTTCCTGCTAAACATGTTTGAACTTAGAAAAGAGCATGCAAAATGGTGTAAAGCATGATCGTATATTTTGCAAAAATATGGACAATAATGTCATCTGTTAACCCAGATCTGAATAAAAAAATTAAACAACACAGAAATGTTGAAATAAAACCATGAACAAGAAAAGAGTGGGTTGCACAGTAAAATGCATGGCAAAAATACATCCCCACGGAAATCGCAGGTTGCGCAAATTTTGCTCCTTCTATGTTGTCTGAGGATATTGCGGGATATGCAGCGAGAGAGTTAATTTAGTAGTTTAGTTATGAAGTATTCCTACTTCTGCTACTACAAGCTCAACAGTATTGATTGCTCAAATCATGCTTACCTAGCTTTGTGATTCAATTTAAAGCGACTGGAACATTTTGCTGCTATTGGAAATTATTTTTACTTTAAAGGTTAAAAATTAAGGTTCTTCTTAACACAGTAAAATAAAATGCATGTTATTTGCATTCCGAAGTACTAAGATTTATAAACATCTAACAAAAACAATTTGCTCAGAAAAACTCAGTAATATTTAAAAATATCTTGAATAAATAACTATTTGGTTTAATTCGATTTGAAATCTTAAATTATACATAATTTAGACATTAGATTGGAGTAATTAACAGTGATAATACATACAAGTGCTATTTACTTAAAGAGAAGAAAGCCTTTGCAGAGTGCTGTTGAAAGGAAACTGATTTCATTACATGGGGGGAAACACTGTGAAAATCTCAGTTGGCCAGTTTATGTATATGCTTTTGATAATTTTAATAAAAAAATTACAATACTTTTAGATTAAAAAATTCAAAAATAATACTTAAATTAACTAAATTATGCGATCAAACCTAAATTTGTTTCACATTTTTGCTAAACAAAATTAAAATAAATGGGCTTACACCAACTTTAAGTATGCACTTCAGAATTACAAACAATTTATTTAAGAAGTACTTATTTTAGAATTCCTTTTACAGTTTATTAACCTATTAACCTGCCCAAATCTATCATGGTAAACTTATAATTTGGTGAAAGCACAAGTATCAAATTTAATAATTTAACACTTTTACCTATCTTTACACGTAAGAATTTTCACAATATAATTAGTTGCTCTTTTTTTTTTTTTTTTTTTTTTTTTTTTTTCTCTTTTTTTTTTTTTTTTTTTTTTTTTTTTTTTTTTTTTTTTTTTTTTTTTTTTTTTTTTTTTTTTTTTTTTTGTTTTTTTTCCTTTTTAACTTGTTACTGTAGGCATTGAAGTGCTAAGGACTGAAAATTTTTAATCTTGGGTACATTTATGAAAATTTAAGGAACTGGCAGTAAATATGCTGACAAGCAATGAGCAACAGAAAATCTACATACAACTGAGTTTCTATGACAGAAAATCTCACCTTCTTAACTTATCAAACCAATGTCCAAAACGAGGTCCTAATAAATGAGTATCTGCTAATAGAGCAGCTTTGACAGTGGAATGCCTAGTATTAGTTTCGATTTGAGGCCATGTGCATTGTAGCAGTACAATATAATAGATCAAAACCTGAAAACCGAAAAGTAAAGGGATTAACAAAAATTACATGCATTAAAAATTTTAATAGATACAAAAGTAGCTAAAATTTGTATTATTAGAAAGCCTAGTAAATTTAAGATCAAAATTATTTACATTATGTCTAGATTTTTTATGCATATTAAAATATTTATAGATTAACTTGAAATGCTTACCTCACAGAAAAAAAGTAAAAATCCAATGAGAAGCCAGGTTTTCCCTATGTGCCACCAGTTTATACAGCGTATGAAACGCATGCCCCTTTGTTTTAACATTCCATTTATAATCTGAAAAGAAAAGTATTGCACATAAAATATGCTCAAACTTTTAAAAAATCTTTTATAAATTTTATTAGTTTTATTCAAAATATGATTCACATATATATGAATCATATAATCAAACGTTAGAAAGGACTATTAAGAATCCTGCACCTAGGCTGCAATTTGAATATATAAAAGTGCAGGTGGAAATTTCACCTATCATTCATTTTTCATATATCTACATAGTATATAGAAATACAAATAATTATTTAAAAGGAAAATTTATAATTCTTCCAGAATTTTCATGCATTATGCTACTGAAAACTGATCAGTAAATATATAAAGAAAGCATATACATGAATAAAGAATATATATGCCATCAGTGCAGGCGCAAAATTCATTTTGGAATTATAAAGTGTGTTAAAGAAATAAATCTTGTTTCCATGCCACAAACATCAATAGAAAATGTATTTTCTAATTAGCTTTAAATAAAATATCTACATAAGTCAAATAAATGTGCCTGCTTATCTGCAAGTCCAAAAGTTCCAATGTTTAGTGAAAACGCAGTGTAGAATTTATTTCAGGCATCTCTACAATATTTAGGAGAAAACAAAGTGTGTTTTAAATCATCTGTGATTTAACGCTTAAGAGATTCCTTTCTTATTTAAAATGAATTTCTGGTACTTGCATATAAACATGACTACCTTGACTCAATTTCGATGACTTTTACAGTTGAAAAGGTAAAAATTATTTATCAGATAAGATAAAAGTTAGCAATTTTCATATATTTTTTAAAAAAAACTTTCTTAAATTATCAATATTTAATGTATGTTAGCAAAAGAATATCAACATGTCTAAAGTAAAACATTTTAAAGACTTTAAAATACAAATTTTAATTATTAAATCAGGATTATATGATATATTAAAAAAAAATAATAAAATTAATTATTGTCTATAAAACTTTCTAAAACTTGGAATGCAACAACAACAACCAAAAAAAAAAAAAAAAAAAAAAAGAAACATATGAAAATGCCAAAGTTGCTTGACTGAAGAATTGTGATTAGCATGGTTGCCTGAAAAATGTTTATGCACAATGGCAGCCAGAGTTTGGTAAATTGGTAAGTTTGGAAAATTCTGAAAATTTGCTAACTTCTATTATTCCGTAAACATTTTGCGATAATATATAAGCATCAAATTTTCTGCTCATGCGCTACATAATATAGAGGTTACAGTAATTTAATTTTTGGCACTACAAGATATCACCTGGATAAATTAGTCAACAGATAAAGAAGTTTGATACATAAAAGATTAACAAATATTGAATCAATGGTTAATGTTTTCCTCTCACAACATTCCTAGAAATCAACCATGGACATTAGAAAATGGCAACTTCTAATAGGAAACCCATGTTGAAGTTGCGACTTTAAAAAAGGAGTCGCATATAATTGTTTAGAAAGATTTTGGATCACAAATTTTTAACAAAAATTCTCCTTCAAGATACTCAGCATACGAAGCACAGGAAAGCATCTGGAGAGAAATAAAATAAGAGAAATTTTCGAAAAAGCTGATGTGAAAATTTAATAATAAGGTTATTCCTTTTCCAATAAATAAAAACCGATTTCTTATAATAATTGATTTATAAGGTATTTCTCCCACCTTCTTGACATGCCTTTGTGGTGTGGTGGTCTACTCACTGGATGCGTATTCCAGAGGTCCATGGTTTGATTCCCGGCGAAGGCATTGCATATTTTTCATCTTTTCTGCTTCAAAAGTACCTAATGTCTTCACAGATTAACTCAATGTTTTTAAATATATTATAGTTTCTCATCTGTTAAGCTTTTTATTCCAGTGAATAATTTATGAACACTTTGTATGTTATGGCTAGCAATGATATAACAAAAAATAAGGGCCCTATAGTCACATTAATTTAGCATTCCCAGCTCTTTCACACACAGCAATAGATTTAAAAAGCATTTATAGAGCACACCTAAGCAAATAATCACTCATAAAATTGTAGATAAGTTTTGCCCTACATATGATTTTAATATAGTAATTATGTTCTACACAGTAGAAAGTTTTTTGTGGTGATAAATGGATTCACAACTATTCCTTGTGCTATAATTTGTTTTATATAATTGTTATGTTAATTTTTTTTTTTTTAATTGAAATGAATGTTTGGTCTTGAGATTTGCCTAGAAATGAAGAAGAGGCTATGTTGTTTTCTCAAGAAATATTCTTGGCAAAGACATATTGTGTTAAAATTAACCCCCTTGTGGAACTAAAATACAATTTGAAGTTGAAATGGTTAGGCATATCATTGATCAATAAATGAAGAAAAAGTTACGAGACTGCAAATGCAGTTACTAATTGAATCATGCATTTCTTTTGTTCCTGCCATACAATTTATATACTTATGATATTAGGAAATAATATCTATTGAGTGTTATGAACAAAAGCTTCCTTCGTATGAATTCTAACACAACAGTTGATTGGAATAACTGCATAAGGTATGTTATTTGTTCCTGTTGTTTATGAAATTTGCTCAATAATTTCATGAAAAGAAAAAAATAGATTAAATACAGAATATCTATACAGATTACGGTATGAAATTTTTTGATATTTCAAATAAATTTTTTAACACATTGCTATTGGGCGCTTTGTGTTGGTGCCTTATGGTGGAAGTGGGCGATTTTTTTAAAAATCCTTGCGAATTCCACTTCCACAGGAATAACAATTATTGAAAGAGTTCGATAACAAATTCGACTCAAGATAATTATAAAAAATACAAAATATCACGAAAAAACTCTTGATTTTTGAAAATAATATAGGTTTGCAGTGTGGAAAATACCATTCTTCCTAAGGAAACGTCTAAACACTGATAACTACCCAAATTCACTAAAACGACTCAAAATTCATAAATTCGCAGGCATAATCTGTCATGATGAGCCCATTTTTCGCTATTATTTATGACCTTACCATCCCATACCTAATCTATTGGGGGAATGTTTATAACTGCGAAGTACTATATATAAATAAGCGGCATAGCAAACATGTGTGTAGTAACTCACATTAACTACGTTTCCCGCGTTCTACCACCAGTCCATAAAAAGCGTATTACTACGTTATCCGCCCTCTATATACAGTTTGCGAAAAACGTGATTTTACGTGTCCCAACTACAATGTGTTAATACCTCCATAAGAAGTGCTTCCAAACGATTTTTAGATTTGAAACTGTTTTTTAATATATAGCCATAAAAATCCACATAAAGTATATTTTTATGAAAAGACTACAACCCATTAATGTGTAAAATTTAATATCAATTACTAACATTTCATAAATAAATATCACAGAAAATACTCAAGTTTCATGTAGAATGAAAAATATGAAGAGCAATATCAACGAAACTGCTCAATATGTTATAATAATTTTAAATCACATTCTGTCAGATACGAATTAAATTTTTTTGAAGAAAAGTTTGGCTCAATCGTCTATTAAAACTCTTGCTTAAAAATTAATATAATTTTTTGGCTTTGTTAATATTAATAATACGATAGCTATAGCTCCACACAACCTAACAGCAGTTAACAATCAGCCTCCACAATACAAACGTTAAGCGTAAATAAACAATGTGGCTAACTTTTCATATATACTTCATAATCTAAAAATACAGCATCGAAATCTCCCCTGAAAATAACCACATTAAAAAAAATAATAAATACTGATAACTGGAAAATTATCATGTTACAGACATTTTTCACAACTTTCCAGCCAAGCCATTTATATAAACAAATCAATCTGATGCCATTTTAACATAACAAAATATTACGAAATATTCATTGTAAGATAAATCTACGAAGAAAATATAAGTCTTCTAGGAGCACTTTTTCTCCACAACGGAAATTTTCTTTTTTTCAGCAATGAAAGCAAAAAGAATCTATAGTATTATTGGTGTTTACATATTCTTGATTTTTAGCATTCTGTTCATTACTTTAAATCATACGTTGCTTAGATAAGCGGGGTTTTGTTTCATAAAAATTTTGTCCTCAACAGACACCTGTGCATTGTACTGAATAATTATAATTATTCTGAAGGAGAAGCGGTACGTTCAGGTAAACTGTAGATTCTGCACTACATCTTGAGAGGTTCGTCTCAGGATTTCGAGAGAGGTTCGTCTCTCGAAAAGTAAGCCCAAGGGAAAGGCAGATTACTTATGACATTGAGCCAATAGAGCATTCTGGTATTTCTCTGCTATCTAAAGTTTTGGGCAGGATTTATTTCTGTTTAAAAGTACAGGTGGAAGATTTACGATTATAATGGGCAACTAAATTTCCTTGCTTTTAGGCAGAAAACTTTAGCAAAAGCCTAAAAGCAAGGAAATTTAGTTGTCCATTATAATCATAAATCTTCCACCTGTGCTTTTAAACAGAAATAAATCCTGCCCTGTCAAACTGTTCGAATTCATCTCTCATTTTATGATCTTTACAGGAGACATAAATGATAATGAAAACAAAGTGGTCGATGTTAGGTCTCGTATTTCGACAACACCCAAGTCACATGTAAACTGGAAAAAAAAATTGTATCTCTTAAACTGCACTAATGCATTCATTACCAATAACCAAGTTAGTTTTGAATTTCTTTACTGCTGAATCTCGGAAAGAAGATTTAGAATTCACTTCTTTATTACAAATGACTGAACTGAAACATTTATGTAGTTTTAAAAATTAATATTTTAAGTTCCACTGGGGAAAAGGAGTGTGGCTATATCTACGGGGAAAACGCATAACTTTGTTCATGAAAAAATAATGGATCCATGATTTTGTCTTATTGTGATCTGATACAACGAAGAGAATAAGGCATAAACTTAACTGAAAAGAAACGTTTCTACAAGTATTCTTCATTTGGTAAATTTTCTTCTTTGGGAAGGCTTTACTTATTACAACTAATCCAAATTAATTAATTTTAGGATTATTTCGTGCTTTATTATATTACTAAAAATACATTAGCTACAAACGGCTGACACTATTAGCAGGCAAATGGGTTGACTGAATAATTGGGCTGTTCTCTTAAAATCGCTGCTAAATGTTATTCTATGCGACATTCTAATCTTCATGTCTAGAAATATACTAAACGAGGTCCACGAGTCCATTCACTTTCAGAAAATCGAAAACAAACTTAGGAGACTTGTAAAGATCCTCAAGAGACAACTCCAGGCACTCAAGGATATGTGCCGGTGATGCCGGTGCATTTTGATATTTAGAACAAATTGGGTGCATCTTGAGATCTCTCTCAAAAGTAAATCCTTTCAGATGTCCACTGAAGAATCGGGAAAGTGTTGTCTGAACACATCTATCTCAATCAATAGCAAGAGATCTTCAAGGACAATCAGCTTGATACCAGGGATGATTCGGGGGAACGAGCCAAATTTTCCTATCTGCGTGTCTTCTAATGGAATACAGTTCAAGATATGTCAATGAATTGGTAACTGCTGCACCAATGTGTTCTTCAGAACCCTCCTTCGCCAGAATGTCTGCCATTTCATTCCCCCATATGTCAACATGGGAAGGAATCCACTGAAGGTGCACTTCACAGAATGACGAGACCTGCTTAAGCTTGCTAAGAATTGCAATTTCGGCCCTATCACCAACTCTTCGCCAGTTTGAAAGATATTGGATGGCGCTACGACTGTCAGACAAAAATCATACTGCATTAAGATCTATAAAGAACGAAACAGCGTTTAGCCCCTCTTCGATGGCTATAAGCTCACTCTTAAAAACTGAAGTCAGGATTTCTTCTCTTTATTTTAACAATATTTCCATTTGTGCATTTAATGACAACTTCACTACCGGAACGAAAGTCCTCGCTTTTACTCACATCAATATAGATAAGGGTAGCTTCAGCGGGAATTGCGTGTATAGTTTCTAAGGCAGATTGTCGTAACAGGGTAGGAATATCATTTTTCTTGGAAACTCGAGACAAAAGTTCCGTATGAAACTCGACTCTAGGGAGTCCCTCAGACGGATCTGAACATTGTTTCAAGGAATGCTGCTCAACATTACTCATACTCAATTTGACTGAGTGGGCTATTTTTCTTAAGTCTTTAGCTGGAGGCATTACCCAGCTAAAGCCTACAGGCATCTGAGCTAAGTCAGTCCTCTACCATTGGTGTTCGGGTCTAACTATTTACAGAGGCTGCCCTTTTCCTCCACCTATGAGTCATATCTTTCATTTTGATCTAAGGACTATCATGAGTTCTTAGATTATTATGATCTAATGATTATTATGATCTAATGAAAGGACTATCATGAGTCCTTTCATTTTGATCTTTTACGCACAGTGGCTGTTCTAGATTTTGTTTGTAATTAATCTAGAAACTGTGATTTTATGATTTTAATTATAAAACTTTTTTAGCTGATTATACCAGTTTTAGTATAAAATATTTGCAACAAAGTAGTGAACTGATATTTTATCTTATTATATATTTATATTCTTTTTACCTCTGAACCCTTTTTTTCTATGAAAATTTTAAACTGTAATTTAAATCACTGTGCTGCCGCTGCTTGTAGGCTCTTTGCAATTGATAGAAACACTACACGTTATTACTTTACAAGAGCTCTATTATATTCAAAATAAAATTCGCATGCTCTGGGGACTTGGAGAGTTGTGCCTGCAGAAATGGGTAGAACCGCTATCATTATTACTAAGAAACAACTTGAATTTGTAGTGGACACAGTACAAGATTGTATTGTGGCTGTCTCCACGTCTGATGGTCAAAAGAACTTTGGTATTATTTCGGTTTATTTCTCACCGGCGGAGGATTTGAATGCACATTTACATGCTTTAGAAAACGTTTTAAAATTGTACAATTTTAACTTTATAATAGTAGGTGATTTTTAATTCAAAAAATTTTAATTGGGGTACTACGGCACTGGACCAAAGAGGTATTTTAGTTTATGATTTTATTATGGTTCATGAACTGAAACTTTTCAACAAAGATGACTCACCTCCGAATTTCTTCTTCCCGGTGGGAATTTTTTGGTATTAGGGTCACCAAGTATAGATTTTAGCTCTGTGGAAATGAACATATTAGATGAACCTACCCAGAGTAACCATAGATATATTTATGTTGATTTAAATGCTATAAAAACTAATAATTTATACAATTTCTCTTATTCTTACAATTCGTTTAGAACGAAAAAACTTGTCAACAAACTGAAAATAGACATTATGAAACTTGAAAATGAACTCGTGACCATTAGAGATTGGAAAACAGTTTGAATTATGTGGTCCTCAGGCTCAAAAAAAAAAAAAAAAAAAAAAAAAAAAAAAAAAAAAAGATTAAAATAAACATGGATAAAATTTTAAGACGTAAAATAAAGAATGGACAACCTGGTGGACCCCTGAATTAGCTATTTTAAGACGTAAGACAAAAGCTGCAAGAAAATTTCTCAGATAAAGTGTCTGAACGTGGAGACAAGATTACAAAGGAAAATGAATTACAAAAGAGTTTTAGCGGTATTTAAAAAAGCAATTAAAAAGACAAAAAGAGACTTTCGAAATTATTTGTTCAATAAAAACTAGGTTTATTATGAAAAATTTTATAAATATGCCACAAATTAAGGAAAGGAAAAAGTTATTTTATATAGAGATAATTGTAGTGTATCCACGTCTGCCATGGAATGTTATGATGAGTTGATTAAAGATACTCTGAGGCTGGATTATTGTTCTAATTATCCTGATTATCGACATATTTCTATGGAAGGCAACAAGGAGGTAGAGCGGGCGTTTACTTATGAAGAGATATTTGATGTTGTTTCTAGCCTCAGAGATGGCACTGCCCCTGGACTAGATGGAATCGGGACTACTTTAGAATTCATTTTGGGGAATTCACCTCTTTTTATATATTACTTTACAACAAATGTATGGTTTTAACGACTTTTCCTGATATTTGGAAAATTGCAAAATTGATTCTTGTTCCTAAATCTACAGGTGGACATAGACCCACCTGCTTATTAAAGATCCATGCGAAAATCCTAGATAAACTCGTCACAAAAAGACTTGAGCATTTTTTAGGGACAAATAATATTATCGGTTCAAATCAATATGGTTTTCGAAAGAATATGTCTACTGATTTAGCATTATACAATGTGATCCAACAAGTCAGAGAAAAGCGACAAATTAAGCATGTAGTCCTGGTTTCCTTCGATGTCCGAGGGGCATTTGACTCTATTAGCTGGTTCTCCCTACTGTCTATATTAAAAGAAATTGGCATCTCAAGAGATCTGTTTGATATAATTAAAAGTTATCTGGAGAATAGAGAACTAATTTTTATGCGCAACTCTAATGCAATTAATCTTTATTATAAAATTGAAAAAGGCTGTCCCCAGGGCTCATATAGTGCTTCCCCGTTCTGGAGCCTCATAGCAAATAAATTACTGCAAGAAAATGTACCTGATACGGATATTACCTGTTATGCCAATGATATTATGGTAACTATTACAGGAGACTCTTTCGGAAAAATAGAGGCTACTTTTAACCTGTTTGGAAATGTTTTTAAGAAATGGTGTTACTGAGCAAAATATAGAAATTAATATTGAAAAAACAAATGATATGTTTTTCCCTCGGGGAGGGAGAAATGTTAGACCCCCCAGATTGAAATATGATCAAAAAAGAATAAAATTTGTGAATACTTTTAAATACCTGGGTGTAGTGATCGATGATAAGTTGGATTTTATAGAGCATTTTAAGAGTAAGTTTTGAGAAT